AAGATGGCTTTCGCGACTGCAGGTCTCTACAAAGAAGCCTACTCTTTAAGATGGCGAGTTGACAGGGTCCTTGACCATATCTCTAAACCGGAATTCAACCTTTGCATGTTCTACTTCTACGAGCCGGATAAATCTGGACATAAATACGGTCCAGATTCTAAGGAGGTGTTGGATGCCATTGAACTCGCTAACGATGGCATTGCTTACCTACTGCAGAGAATCGAAGAAACCCCAAGTCTGAAGGGGAAGATCAATGTTGTGGTATCATCTGATCATGGAATGACTCAAGTTGATCCGGTAAACAAGGTCATTGATGTGTACAGCAAAATAAAAGACTTGTCCTACATTGCTGATACCTCTGCTGCCAGTATCGGTCTGTGGCCACAGGATGGCACTACCATTGAAGAACTTCACAACGCCCTTGCTGGTCTCCCCCATCTCTCTGTTTACTACAAACATGAAATCCCTGAGAGATATCACTTTAAAAACAACCGCAGGATCGCGCCAGTTTTCGGCATTGCTGATCTTGGATATTTGGTCAAATATAGCCCGAAAGATTACTCGAATTTGTGTAAGTCAATTCTTTTAATGCATTTATCGCTTTATAGTGCGGTATTCTATTGCCTGCTTCTGCTCGTGATAGACGGAACGCACGGATACGACAACGCCGAATCTGACATGCATCCATTTCTCGTGGCTTTCGGACCAGATGTGAAGAAGATGGAGGGGATTCAGAAATTCTTCCAGATCGATATCTACCCCTACATCTGTGCGATGTTGGGCTTGGACAGGCCGAACAGAATCGACGGTCGCATTAGCCGCACTCTACCATTTCTCGTGAATAAACCAAGCGACGAATTTCTGAACCAGTTCCAACTCTACGAAATGGGTGTTCTTGTTTCGTGATGCTGGACATGTCGTTGCCTCTTTCGTTTTCAACTGTGTTTTTTTCCTTCAAATTACACCAGATCGATTTAGAGTGCTTTTGTTACAGTCATCTCCAAGGACTTAACTTCACTTTTGATGTGCATTCTAGTAAGATATTGGCATAATTGAGTAAAAATTATATTCTGCCGAAATGAAACTAGTAGGCAGTGTTATCTTTCATGGTTGAAAGCTTTTTTTTATGACAGGCTGTGAAAAGATTCGTCTTGCTGGTGGTTGAACATCACTCTGACATTTAACCCAGAGCCCCAACGCAATCATTTGTCGTGTTGTCGTGGAAGTCTAGCATGCGATCCCGTACTGAGGCATACTTGTAAGTGAACGTCAAGACATCGCTTTCATGGCTAGCAACGAGTTGGCTGTATAGTTAGATTTTTAAACTAAGGGGTAAAGATTTCGGCTCAGCTACACGAAAGATGCTTGCGCAGTGCTATGTAGTGTCATTAGATGCCTAGGTAAGTCGTCATATAATCTTCTAATTGGTTTGACCAAAATTGCATTTGGCCTTTGATAGTCTCCAACTTACTTGAAGCCACTGTCCTCCACACTGATTCCTAAAAACAAAAATATCGTTTTTATGCAAATCTTTTACTGTTCCACAATGCTTTATCGTTGAGGATATACCCACTGTGGCGTCAGATTAGGGCGCAGACATGTTGGACCACCTGGCCTCAGCCAATCCCGTGTCTCTCTGCGATCCAATGACATGCGGGAAAGGAAGGCAGCCAACCAGAGAAGGACATGGATGAGATGCAGTATATAATGAGCGGCATGACCAGCGCGGCGGACTCGGATGGAAGGCGCCTGACGCGTGGCTCTGGCTTCTGATTGGTCAATAAAGCCTGTTCTGTTGTACCAGTCTTTTACCTATTAGGGCTCGGGTATTCTACACCACCATTATCTCGGCTCTCACGCTTACGTGTGTGTGATTAAAAGGTGTGATTCTGACAATGATTTCTTTATTTCAACTTCTTCTACGACCGCACAGGCAAAAACAACGCAAACTGCATCACATACTTTAAGAAAATCACATCACAGACCTCGCGTTACAGGCTTCGGAATGTGTTGATTTGGGCTGCCAGAGGGACAGCAATTTTCATGCCACTTCGCATGAACAACCAAAGTTCACTGCAAGCACCTCCAGGTAATCGCAAGAAATTAGTGAACCTCATGTTCCAGAAGGCAAACTAAAGAGTAGATTAATGTTTGGGTACAGTCAATTTGTTGCCATTGACAATGTCTAGGACGAGTAATAATGATAAGCAAATCAGCTAGGTGACACAGGGTCATTAATCGTCACCGGGAGTTGATTGAAACCAGTTAATACGATCTGCTGATTTTAAGGACATGCGTATCAAGTCATTCACATCTATTCCAAGTTGTACCCTTACCCCAGAAGAAAAGAAGAAGACTAGAGACGGTATAGACACAAGATGGATCTACTTAGTTTAGTGCCGCGCCATTGTGCATGAAAATAATGGTTGCTGATCGTGACAGTCTGGGTAAATCTGTTCAAGTACGCTCGCATGAAAGATGAGAGGATTGAAACTTGTAGTGAAGCATTCGTCATGTGCCTTCCACGTAACCCTTTGTTTTAATCTACCAGTTTTGTTGGAAAACAGTTCATGGATCCCCAAAATCCACCGTGACTGATTTTAGTGCAATTCTTTGATTCTGGCGCGTATATTCACTATTGCGTAAGCTGGTGTTAAGCATAGGTAGCGTAGAGGAGGTACGCGCACTAAGGTGTACGAGAAGACGGTTTACCTAGATCGATAGGAACCACTCAGGTTAATGGATGGACCAAAGTATTTACCAGACGTAGAGAGCACTGACATATTTTAGTTGAAGATGCCGTCAACGCCTGGTATGACCGGAACTTTAGCCCATGTTGCGGTCACCAGCAAACACTAAGGCACGAAAAAGACCATTACAAAGGAGGCAACAAATGGCCATTTCAGCCAGATTCGGAGGGACCCACCAACTTGCTATTACACAAACGGAAATTGGTTCGAAACTCAGGAATACCCAAACATGTCTGGCTCAAAGGTGCGACGTAGTAGGCTGAAAATGTGTATTCATGGGCTCAAGGACAAGCAGAGCGGCAAATCGCTTGCAGTAATCAGCACTCTGTCGAGAAATCGAGGAATGAAAGCTTGATTTATCAACACGCAGCTGCGACGGCAGATGATTTGGCCTTCTGAGGTTCATCTTTAGCATTCCATAAAAAGATTTTCTGGTTACATTTTAGATCCGGTCTGGGATGCGGCAAATGAACGTACTAATTCAATCATCACATTACACTTACGAGTTGCGCGCTTGTAGTGAGTCATTCTGATTTACGTCCACTAACCAGGTCGTTGTAGGCACAGAAACACTGTTCGTTTTTTACGGTGTTCCAGTCAGCCTAACGGGACCGTCTATTCATAGAGTGGTGATTGTGTGCAGTTATTCACATCCACCAACCAGGTCGTCGTATTCACCGACACATTGTTCCCTTTCTTCAGTACTCCTATCAGCCACTCAATAATATAACCACATGTTACGGTTTTCAGTGAGGAGTATCATTTCGACAACAAACTCGATCTCGG